TAATGTACTTTGAGGGATAAATCTGAGCTATTAAAACACATGGCAGGTTTTTATATTAGCTATAATTATTCAGTTTAAAGGCAACACTGAACATGGCAATGGGTAGGACAACTACGATTCTTTTAAATGTGCATTATTCTGTATCTTTAAAAATCGAGACTCATTTGCTGTACATGCAATGAGCATTTTAAAAAAACAGGCAAACAGAATTCTGTGCACAAAACATGTACTGAACAATAATACTGAAAATACAGTCATGTCATATGAACTCCCTCACCTAGAATATTGGGTTCAGTTCTGGTACCCCTTCTCAAGAAAGAGTAGAAATAAAAGGGGTCCAGAAACAGGCAAGGACAATGAGAAGCATGGAAAGACTTCCATTTCAGAAGCAATTGCAAAGAAGAGGATTCTTTAGAGAAGAGACTAATAAATATGGGATATGCCCACATAAAAAAAAATGGATGAGCTACAGATAGAAGAGCTTGAGAAGAGTGAGGACATTCAGTTAAACTCAAAAAGCATTCTAGCTAAAAATGATAGAAAGAAAAGCAAAAACCTTAAACCCACACAATTAAACTGTGGAACTCAGTGCCCAAAAATAATTTGGGCCACAGCAGACTACAATCTGGGGGAGGTAGTTGGTGGGGGGTGGAAAAATCTGCCTTCAAATGAAAATATATTCAGTTACATTAGATGGTTTTAGTAAAATAAAATAAAAAACCTTTATGCTTCAAAGTCTGAAATCCACTAGCAAGGACAGGGGAGAAAACTCCCCAGTGTATAAGGTTATTTCACAGCTGACTACCAAAGGGGTTCTCCCAGGGTGCTGACCACTGCCAAAAACATGATGTGGGATTAAGCAGATCACTGGTCCAATTTAGTATGGCAATTCTCATACATCAAAAACAAGGACCTCAGTGCAGTTGTCTAGCACTAACTAATATCAAATTCCATTTAGAAAAATCCATTCCCTGCACTGCAATCCATCGCATAATTAAAGTTTGATAATTAGGTAGATAACAGAGGAAGATTGGCTGTTCCTTTATCTAAAGAAACAGAATTCTCTCTCCCTCCATCATACGTAATGTAAGGATATATGTAAACATGCAGAAAAATAGACCCACGCTGACGTATACAACTACTACAAGAATCCTTACTGAACACAGTAGCACTGGAAGGCACTATCAGGATATTCTGCCTGGAAAGGCTGCTGACTCTCCACAGTTCCAAACCACCAAGCATCATCTATTATACTGCGAAACCTATCCCCTGCAATAAAAATGTGAAACTTAGCAATAGAGAGTAATACAAATGATAATCAACTTCTTATTAAAAAGTTAAAGTATATGTATAATTTACAAAAATATGCATCTCTAAGTAAAGTCACAAAATCTTATACCATAGTAGAGCATCTATAAACAGGAGCCAAAAACCCCATAGGGAACTTTACTTTTCTGGTGACTGACAGCAGATTCTTCCTAACATCATACCACAATCCAGCAGTAAATTCCTTTGCTCATCCTAGACTTATCAATTTTCTCTTCTGAAGTTGCTTACTCCCTTGCACTACTGCCATTGGGTCATTCACCTTACCACTGAGTAGCTCAAGTACTTCCAACAGTCACAGAATCATAGAATCAATGAGTGGGAAGGGACCTAGACAGATCATCTAGTCTGACCCCCTTGCATGGGCAGGAAGGAGCACTTGGGGGTGGCAGGGGTCATAAGACCCCAGCCAGGTGCCTATCCAGTCTCCTCTTGAAGATTTCCAGGGAAGGTGAGAGCACCACCTCTCTGGGGAGCCTATTCCAGGCTCTGGCCACCCTTACAGTGAAGTAGTTCTTCCTAATATCTAACCTAAACCTATCCTCCCTCAGCTTGTGGCCA